TTCAGTATATGTTGAAACTGATTGTATATGTTGAAACTGATTCAGTATATGTTGAAACGGGATGTTACCTGAAAGTTTGAAATTGTTAAAACGGTTAAAATTGTTAGAGAAGCTGAAGCTGGATGTTTAATCGCTGTTTGGACGGCCTTTTTACAAGCAGAGCTGTATTGATAGCTGTCGTTTCTCAAATGACCCATCATTTATCATCAACTATTTACTAAAATATTTTATCAGCATCAAGGCTTGTGTGTCTCCCACACTGTCATCTCCCAATTCCGTGGCTGTCGGCCTCTGATAACAGCCGGTTTCTGCGCGTTCTCAAAACGAGACGACCTCAAAGAACGTGTGAAAAAAGGGTAAGCCTAATGACACAGCAGTTATAAGCTGTTAAAAGGCTCTTGGAGTGACAGGAATATATTAGATAAGCTCCATTACAGACGTCTTGAGTACTTAAAGATTTAAATAAAATTAGACAGGCGCCTCAGCCTCTGACCTTCTTTCTACAAGATGGTGTGAGTTAATTGTAACTTGTAACGGATTCTTTCATGATTATCATTAATATTTTATTGACTCAACAAACCTAATAACATATACGCCTGTTTATAGTATTGGAATCGGTCTTTATTTACAGACAACCACGTGATAACATATAACAACAAGACACTAACAAAGTTAGGATCGGTCTTTATTTACAGACAACCACGTGATAACATATAACAACAAGACAGTAACAAAGTTAGGATCGGTCTTCATTTACAGACAACCACGTGATAAGATATAACACCAAGACAATAACAAAGTTAGGATCGGTCTTCATTTACAGACAACTACGTGATAGCATAATAACAAGACACTAACAAAGTTAGGATCGGTCTTTATTTACAGACAACCACGTGATAACATAATAACACCAAGACACTAACAAAGTTAGGATAAGTCTTTATTTACAGACAACCACGTGATAACATGTAACAACAAGACACTCACACATTTTGTGGTATAAACTGAAAGATCAGAATCAGCGGAGTATCAAAATGATGTGAAAGGATGTATTTAATTGGCTGAGTGGCCTACAAGACGTGAAAGGATGTATTCAATTGGCTGAGTGGCCTACTAGACGTATCAAAATGACGTGAAAGGATGTATTTAATTGGCTGAATGACCTACTAGACGTGAAAGGATGTATTTAATTGGCTGAGTGACCTACTAGACGTGAAAGGATGTATTCAATTGGCTGAGTGACCTACTAGACGTGAAAGTATGTATTTAATTGGCTGAGTGGCCTACAAGACGTGAAAGGATGTATTTAATTGGCTGAGTGACCTACTAGACGTGAAAGGATGTATTTAATTGGCTGAGTGACCTACTAGGACGTGAAAGGATGTAGTTAATTGGCTGAGTGACCTACTAGACGTGAAAGGATGTAGTTAATTGGCTGAGTGACCTACTAGACGTGAAAGGATGTAGTTAATTTGCTGAGTGGCCTACAAGACGTATCAAAATGATGTGAAAGGATGTATTCAATTGGCTGAGTGGCCTACAAGACGTATCAAAATGACGTGAAAG